CGTACGTCCATAAAATTTAAAATACACATCAGCATTTGTCAGGCTTATGTAATTTATATAATTGTCAATCAAATTCATCGAAACCTTATGCTTACTGTTTTCCCCAGGAGACTTGCAGCGGAAAACATCAAATACTCTCAAAAGTAGCCTATTCCATCGAATACGTAGAGAGAATTTTACAGTTTAGTACGTCTGCGAAATTACGCCACCCATTTGAGTGGGCTTACCAAAATGCCATAAAAACTCGAAACCAGGTGTTTAAATCACAGTCTGGGCCCATTATTATCAAGGAGTCGGGTTCCAAAATCAAAAAGATATTAAAGTATGGTCGATGGAGGACACACTAATTGAAACGGACGTCCACATGGATGTTCCAAAGACCTCAGTGAAGCCATAGTAAACATGCTTTTCCTACAGTGGCTTCAAATAGCACGTCACTAATACTAATCCTAGCCAAGAAATTGTTAAGTATTTGTTTTTTAGGGTTTTCATACCTGTTCTTTCCTATGAAACATGCAATCGAAAAAGTCGGCATGGATTCATATAGAAAGAGCATTGGCATGTGGCGTCATTTGTCATCGGTAACTGTTGCTGCCTGTGATTACGAACAATGGAATAGCCGATAATAGCCTTTTTAGAGGTGTTGACTAGTAATTTCCCAATCTGGTCTATTTGCACACTCCAGATTTGAAATATAATTTAGTGGGTTTGGTGGTGGCTGGCGTTTACAACGTTTTCGCATCCACCGCCTTACTGAGAGGCAGGAGATTTAAGTTGGCAGAGTTTGCCTAGAAACCTAATAACACTGTTAAAACGGTGTCCTGCAGACCGCCGGAGGAAGCAGGTTTGACTCTGTCTAACCGGGATAAGTACACACAGGACCACAAATGCCAGAGTAGGATTTGTCAGGAAGCTTTGAGCTGCTATAAAGGTGGACGAAAACATGTATCAGTCGAGAGATGGGAGTATGAAATAATACGTCTGTGCATCTGCAGGGCAACCAGTGGAAGCAAAATGCATTGAAGGAAACAAAATCCCTTCATGGTGCATAATATTTCACAAATATAGCCGAAGGCGACCTCAATCTGACAAGATAAACGTGCTATGCAATACAGACTAAATGCATCCGATGACACATAACGCCTCTTTCGTTAGACGCTGAACCTTGTGTTGCGGCATGTTAGCCTCACCATATCACTATCCGTTTTTGTCACAATTGACACTAACGCAACCAGTTGGATGTCATCGTTATTTCTCCGTATTTGTTATATCCACTATATGACAATGTCTCGACTTAAATCCGCTAAGTGAACACCAACATAAACAGCTTTCCTCTCTTACTGTCAAGGCAGCTAATGGAATGCATAAAATTCAACAAAACAACCACTTTTTGCCAGTATTGCCTATGTAAAACCTGGGTGAAACCTGAGTATAGAGCAATGATCACAGTAAAGTGGTTCGTTTGCAACCTCATCCATCACAACCAAATTTGGAGCCACGGCTTCAGTTAGCTGGTAAAACGCCCTACATCCTGTTTTGTGGGGTTCGAAAGGCGGGAGACAGACAACCACACCCATTTCTGGATTAGAGTTTGAACCCCATAAAAGAAATGAGATCAGTAAGATAATCCATAGTATTAGACATACTGTTGCACTTAGTTTGCGCAGGGTCTTGACAAAGCTCTACGGACAAATAGGTTACTTGGGTTATTTTTGTGCGCGGCCTTATGTGGACACATGTGCGCAATTTATGGTCATTTCGGGTTGTCGACACTTTGTGTCAAAAACGTCTCGTATTTGTTCTCGGTAAATCAAGAACTTATCAAATATTGAACAATTTATTTTCAATGCTCTCCTACGCTCTAACTGGAGGATTCTGATCTATTATTTTACAGGGTTACACATTTTCCTACTCCTTCTACGCCCTTGGTATAGCGGATGGACTCATTCTGGTG